TAATGTTTTGATACCAAAGCTGAGCATTGAACTTTCACAAACCGTCAGGTTTTAGCAAAGGTACACTGACCCCAGCCCCCAATGACCGCTCTGTTGCCGTCACATGTCACTGACGTCATGCCTCGCGCGCTCACACAGTCTTAGTTATTAACAAAGTTCGAAAATGTCTTCGAATTAATGTGAGGCGCGCGCGCGCGCGTTTGAACGTGCCATGTGTTAATTACACTCGTAGTCTTTTCGTCGTAAAGATTTGGATAAGGGCACGTGTCGTTATGTGTCTTAAAGCTGCACTCTTTTAAGTACAGTGGGTTGTTATTTGTTTAGTACAGCGACTATCCGACTTAGCGAATAGTTTTGTTTGGCCCAATCTTTTGAGAGTTTACCGTGTATTATGATTTATGCCCTCTGTACGGGAGTGAGGGCCCAGAGAATGCATTCGGTCTTAGAAAAATTCGCTTTGTATTTTCGAGGGGGTCAATAACCGTGGGGATTCTTCAGGGGGACCATCTTTCTTGTTACGCACGCAAAGAGAAAGTGAGATAAAATGGGTCAATGGAGAACGATTTTAAACTTCCTCAATCGTCTCGGTTTGTTTTGAGAGAAGGACGAATTACTCCGAACAATCGATCCCCCTCTCTCTCGCGCGCGCGCGCCTTTCCTCACGCCATCTATCGTCTTTACGGCCAACTAACGGTGGCGAGTGACGTCACCCCCAATGTGGATGAGCAACTTTTAACTTCTTTACCATTTAATAATTACGCTCGGCAGCCGAAGTACATCGACCCGTTTGTTTAGGAAGAGGAGGATGACACAATATGGGCAGTAAAGCGCCTCCTGGTGGAGAGACGCTGTCATGGGTTTTTTAGTTTCTCCTCATCCGTGACGTCATTACTGCCAATGGGAAATAATAAAAGGCACTTTTAATGCACCATTCTGTCCGGATCCTGCTTAATATTAACGATACTTAAATTCGTCTTGAAAGAATCGCGTGTTTTGTGTTTGTGTGTATGTGTGTGTCTGTATAAAAAGAATAAATACACATCGGGCTTTTTGATGGGTGTGCCTTAACTGATGTGAATCATTTATAAATTATCCACTCTAAGCTCAAACGCTGTCGCATTTGTGAAATCAAGCAGGTGATGGCATACACCTGTCCGAACAAATTTTCCTTATCCGACAGGTGTATAGGTTGTCAGCTGTATACAATTAATCAGAAGATTATTGTTCCAGATTGAATATTTAAAAGCCTTTACTACTAAATTTATTTTTTAAAATTGTCTTTTTTTTTTAAGGTTAAAATATGTATCAACTGTAAGCGATTATCTAACAATTACTGCTTGTTTTAATTTAACCAAGGCGATACTTAAAACTTTATACGCGAGATTTAATTATGTAATTTTTGTATCTTAAATAGGTTTATTGTGCGTTAAAACATGTAACGAAACTATAGTTGCGCCGGTGTTTAGTATACAATTATGAGACATATCATAAAATGCAGTTTGAGTGTTTAAGAGCAACAGCTGTATAACTTGCAACGGATTCTTGATGCTAGTAGTCTTTAAAATCGCGTTGTAACAGGGTATTTAGGAGATGAAATTGGCCCGGTGTGTGGCATAGTTAATGTAACTATGTACTTATATTTAATCTAAATTCAAAAGTTTGTACGTATGAATTAAGAAAAGTGTAGTATAGCACTTGTAACCAGTGTCGTCTTACACTATTGTTTGATAGCTATAATTTTTTAGGGAATTTCCTCAGTGTCTTGCCTTAGGGCACAGTATCCGGCTCAAGGTATAATCTAAATATTTAGGAGTTAGCAGATGAAGCTCAGTACGCATCAGGTATTTAGGATTTAGAGCAATAGCGTATCCAAGATGGTGCTTATGGTTCTGCAACACTCTATTGATACCAGAGAAATCAGTTTTTAAAATAAAAATAAGTATAATAACCCACATCTCTTGACTTCAGTTAAGTAACTAAAGTAATTATAAAGTAATTGAATGACATTCTCCAAAAAAAAAACGACAGGAATACGTGTCTTGCACCCCGAATCTTTTCTGATCAACGTCTATATTCTGAAACTCCTGAATACGATTTAGAGTGTGTTTCATGATAATTAATGCTTAATAAAGTAGTATATAAGCTGTATCTTAGAAGTCTTTACAGTGTTTCTATACAATAATATAATAAGGATTAATTTTACTAGAGAGTTAATCTATAAATAGTATTTAGGGGCGTAACAAACTAAAATTATCTACAATAAATCCTATTTTCAGTGTTAATCAAGATCAATAACCGAATGTAAATATAAATAAAGGGCCTGCAGTTATTCTATATGAAGTGTTCTACATGTAATGTGTCGAATTAATTTACATTTAATCTAGCCCAACGCTATTAAAATGCGGAATAATCTTAGCATTGTTATGGTATACCGACTAATGTAATTAACATCATAATCTGCCTTTAATACTCGTTACATTGCATAAGTATGTATCCATACGTGAATATGCTGAACACAGACACGTGTCCGATCATCATCGTCCTTGAATTATTGATAAAATTCTACCGGCAAACATTATTGTGAAATAATTTATCAATTATTCTTCTACATAACTTCAACATCATGTTTAGAATTAAATAAATATCATTTGCTGATAAATGGATTTCGAATTTTAAAATGTGTAGAAAATGTATTGAAGATTCGTATATTTTATTGTTTAAATAATAATGTAATGGTACAATCGCGTGATTTGGCTTCGGATCGACTCTATAAAACAATCTTCAACATGCGATAACACTGTGTAGATTACTTGCGAATTGACGTTGATCCATTGAAGTAAGACCTAAAATTAATGGGTTTTTTTTAAGGTAAATAAATAAATGCCCGTCTAAATAAGGCGAAAATTACGTAAGTAAGGTATGTATCTCTCTAACTATAACATAAATATTAGGGCAAAAAAGTGTTTTGGGGTGAAATTACGAGGTTGAAACATCGACCATGCCATCGAAACCGTGACATATAAAAGCATTGACTGTGAATTGCAAACCAAAATAGCGAATTATGTTTAAATCGAATGAAAAAAAAAAAAAAAATAGAAATAATACTTTTCTCGACCGTCCAAATATAGAAAAAAAGAATAAAAGATTTTCTATTTACAACATTCATTCGAAAATTTTAGGTCGATATACACCAATGGAGATCAGTTGCCACCATTTATAACTTGGAGCGGGTGACGCCCATAACGTGTTCATTTACTAAATTTAACTTTGGAACTTGTTTTTCGTAAGAGGTGCCTATACAATGCGGTCAAAATTAGGAGTTTGTTTCATAATTCTATCCATTTTTATGGGTCCTGCCTCCCCTTTATGGAGAAATTTAACCATTCGTTTCGAAGGTACCGTTTTGCTCCCGTTTACTTGAGGTTCTACAAACGGTAGGAGTTGGATGCAAAATATCCTCTTCAACGTAGGTAGACCAGTTTTATTTTATTATTTATATTATTTAAACTTATAATTAAAAAATAAATATATATATTTAAAAGATGCGCTTAGTTTTTCTTCTGTTCTATGGTTTAATTATTAATTTGGAGCGGCGTGTAAACTGTATCACAGTTCTTAAGTTACGTAGATTGATTAGTGACTAGGGAATTAATTCAAAATTTGGACGTTAGTTTGCTCTTCTCTCGCTAGATGGCGATGTTCTAGTGTGACGTCTTCAGTCGTTAACGTGATGAAGACGTTGGTAATGTCAACAATCGATTCTTGTGTTTTCCTCTTAGGCGCTTATCCACGTGTTCTTATTGTTAATTCACCTGCGCTATAAAAATTCCTATTGCAGGTTCCTAAAATAAACAAAAAGCAAATTAATTTTCTTTAATAATTTAATTTTTATTCTTATATATATATATATATAATTTTAAACTCTTCCCTATGGGCACTAGAAGAGATTTTTCTTTCCTCCATGGTCATCATGTATTCAATTTTCCAATTTTAGTCTGTTGTATTGCCCAAATTCGTGTGTTTTAAGTTTATTTTAGGCTTATTTAAATATTTTTGTTCTTAATCTGAGCCGAAATTCATTTAGGAAGGCTTTTTACCCATCGAATTGTGTTTTGGGAGGAGAAAATATCGATGTAAAATTATCCAAAATTAAAGATAATGCCAAATAAATGTATGTATTTTTAGCATCGTGAATGCTTGAAAAACGTGAAAATGAAACAAAAATAATATTCCAGAGCCAAAAATATGAAAAATTTGGTGGGGTTACCATACAACTTTCAACGCGATATAGCTAAATACAACATTGTGTAATCTTCTATAAATATGGAAAGTGACATTGATCTACCTTGATTAGCAAGAATTAAGCATTAAAAAAACTGATTTAAAATTTAATTTTATAGATTTTTAGTAGTTGAGAATATTATATAATATATTTAAAGTGCAAGCATGACGTGATGAGAAGGATGCAACGTGCACTCTCCAGAGAGAATATTTAACTCCCATTTCCGGTATAGGATCGTACTGTTTCGTGAGACGAATATGAGGAAATTTTTTCTATTATATTTGCCCTTAATGTGAAAATCTCTTATTTCTTAGTTTTAAAAAATGGAAAATTAAGGGCATGGATACAGAAATTAACTTAAAATTCGAATTTAAATCTCCACAAGGCATTGGAAACGTGCGTACTCCGATGCCAAAATTTGTGTATTCAAGGCGAATTTTTCAAAAATACGAGGAGAAAAAAACGTATTATTGAGGGAGAAATACCGAATAAAGTAGAAATTACGTGACCTAGAACATTATTATAGTTACAAAATAAAAAAGAAAGCGAAAGAGGTACAAGCTGGAATTTATGTATCATAACGTTATTGCAATTAAAAAAAAAATGTGTGATATAAAACAGCAATGATACGGAAGGATATTGTTAAGCGGCGTCAACATATCGATTCTACTTACATTGTTAGTAGTATTTGTAATGTATAGTACAGTGTTGCTAGACATTCGCCCATCCGACAGCGAAGAGTGGAGAAACGAAAGCGCGCAACAGGGAACTCGTCAGGAGAACGTCCTCTTTATAAAACGAAACACGGGATAAAATCGATCGGAAATCAACCCCCTTTCAACATTATCGTGAACGTTCACACGAGTATCGTCAAATTTCTAACATTTGCCGATGTGTTCCTGTGTATGGTGTCGAACTCCGCATCGTCGTCTCCGTCAAAGGGTTAGTTAGGCCTAATGGCGCGACCTTGGATGCTGATGCCATATTCCAACCCGTACTTGGTCAGTCAGTTAAGCCTAACACCTGATGCATATCTTCCGCGGGACCCCGGAAGTGATTGTTGTGTATGTGAGAAATTGTATTTATCGAAGAGTGATTGATGCAGCTAATAGGTAGGACGGTTTTATCAGTTTTTTTAAGAATCTCTCTCTAAAAATACGGGATTGTTTATACTTAATCGCTTCGTGTATCGTTAAGCAATGGGTGAAGCTAAGAGGTTGTTTCTAAAGTTAAGTTTACAGCGCGCCATTGGCGATTTTCTCCACCCGGTCGTCGACGTGAAGATCCCTTTGCAAATCTCGAAATATGGCTTAAATTTAACGTATTTCAATCGAATTTTTTTAAAATTATTTTAAAAATAGGATTATTATTTATTTATTTACTGTAGAATTTTTGTTATTGTTAATTTTAGCTTGGTTTTTTTTGACGTGTTTCGTTATAACTCTAACTCGCTCGTTACTTAGATTATTTGATCGTCGCAGAAGCGTTACGATATATTGTATTGCCAACCAAGTTGAAGGTCGTGAAAACCAGTCTGTTCCGCACGCAACTTCAAAAGAATGTTGCTTCCTTGTTTTGATAGCATCGTCGAAAGAATCCAGACGTCCATAATGGGCATTTTTCGTTAAGAGATAGTTTTCGTGTCGCGTTTTTTTTTTTTTTCTTTCGGATCATTCAGAAAGACGGAGGTGTTTGTTCAAATTTTCGTGTATTAAACGCGTAGGGAATTAAATTTTAATTATCTTTGATAAATTTAAAATTATATATTTTTATTATTTAATAATACATGTGTATTAATTTTTATAAATTGCTCTGGAAAATCAGAATGTTTGTTGCTGTGTTGTAACAGGCGCGTGTCGATTGTCAACTTGTCAAACTATATAATAATTTCAATATTATATTATATATGTAATTACAGATGTTTAAATCTTTTTTTTTAGTAGTTAAAGTTTATTTTTTTCTTTTGTTTGGAGTCTACCAGTGCCCTGTGGATAAAAACAACCTGAACACTGGTAGTCGTGGGTTCGCGCCTTGCCATCTAGCCACGTATAGTTTTAAGGGTGTAACACCTAAATAGGGGTCAATTTAACATCGACAGGTCGTCTACTTGTTGCGTTGTTACCTTATTCCGAAGATCCAATTTTTTTTTCTTTTCTTTTTTGAGGGAGTAGTTTATACTTTTTTGGCATGCCACTTATATTTAAGATATAAAAGTGTAAGAAACGAATAACAATTTTATTAAATAAGTTTTTAAATTATAATTTCCATTTTAAAACTTCGATTTAGCGCCACACGTTGGCGTCTGGAATTGGCACTAAGTCGAGGTGCGGCGCTAAACTGAAGTGCGTGAAACAAGGATCACGGTCAGACCTCGATATAGCGCCATCCCCGGTAAAGTGCTGACAACGAATCTTCCCCATATTGAATAGAAATCCTTCAGTGTCTGTGAATTATTAAACGTTGTTTGAAGTACTTTAATTTAGCGCTATACTCAATTTCAGTGGCGAATGATGGTGGCGCTAAATCGAGGTTTGATTATACAGGGGCAATGACGTTAAAGACGAATTGAAATTCGCATAATTTGGCGATAACGTATTCCATTTGCAATGCCAAAAAAGTCAAACATTTAATAATTCAGATACAGAAGAGAATGCCAGTTTAATATTTATGAGATTCGCGAGAATCGTTGACGCTAAATCGAGAGGTTCGACTGCAGTTCACAGATATTTGGGTTTAGATTAATTCACTGATAATGGAAGGTGTTCTCTATTTAAATTTAAAATTCTTTATTCTCAATGAAGATGACCTTGTGTTATATTGTCATCTTGCCACAACTGGGCCCTTCTATCAATCAATTTTCCTTTTGTCTTTAGACGTCTCCTTCTTGTTTCACTTGATTTTATTTTTAAAATTTAATTAATTAAACATTAAAATGTTGTTTTAAAATAAAACTATAGTTAAACCTCGTTGTAGTGCCATCTTCGTAAAGTATCAGGTCTTTCAGAGATAAAGATTCTCTTCAATATTTATAGGAACGAGCATTCACTGGCGCTTTACGAGGCGAACAAATGGTGGCGTTAAATCGAGGTTCGACTGTATTTATATTATATTTTCCATTATAAATTTTCATATGAAATTATTGATTTTTTTTGCTACTTAATTACGGAGCGAAGAGATTAAAAAAAAAAAAAAACTCTCTGGCAAATTGAAATGATCATCACCATCATCCGCATGATGTAGGCATGAATAATAGATGATAGATGTAAATAAATTATCGCTTGTAAACAATTTAATAATAATAAAGTTATTTATTAACGTTTAATAAATAATAATTAATTTTTAAAATTATGATCCTCCATAAATTATAAGGCATCTGTTTATCATCGATTTTTCCTCTTCAAGATCCATTCATCATCCTGACAAGATCAATACTCCACTTATCTTGATCGGTTAGAATAAAATTATATGTCTAAACAGTGGATGATTTAAGGCACGAGGGCCTTCTCACTACCCAATAATGGGCCCTCGAGATTTATTAATCGTCCTAACAAGATCAATTGTTACTTACTTTGATCAATTAAAACAAAATTATATCTAAACAGTGACGGAATTGTGGATTTTCTCAGTGTCCTATAATGGGCCTTGGAGGATCCATTAATCATCCTGACAAGATCAGCAGTCTTCTCGCTTTGATTAGATAGAATAAAATCATGTGTTAAGATAAAATTTAAAGTTTTTACACACATCTTTATGTACAATTGCCCATAAAATTCAATTTTTTTTTTATAGAGAAAAATTCATTTTCTATACACGGTAAAGGACGAGAGAGATGCTCAGTAGGGTGATGTATGTGAGCCAGCTTACAGATTTTATTTTTTAGTGATGCTACAGCAATACTACATATCACATAGACACTGCATATTTGCAGCATCAGCTAAAAAAATAACTATATTTTCATAGGACATCTCTTCCACATTTCATCCTTCATGCTCTTTATGAACGGATCATTTTTGTTTTGTTTAATGTTTTTCTATCACAACACATGTTCAACACTTCACTTCTATAAATTATCATCGCATTTATTTATTTATGGTGCCATTTTTAATTGAATAGAAGGATGTTTAAAGTACTTCTGTAAGCAATTTCTTAGCCAAAAGTATTCATTGCATAACAATAAAATTAAACTGTATATGTGGGTTAACCAATTATCATTCTTTATACTTGTTTTTGTTTATAAGTTATATATATGCGATTATGAGAGAAGATATTTGTAATCTGTTTAGTTAAATCTTTGATTATTGGACCACATAGTGTTTAAAGAATACAAAAATTATTGTTACTTTATTGACAATAGCCTTAAAAAATGGAGTTATTTAGTGTATTTACTTAGTGTTTTGTATGTTCGCACGTAACAAGATCCGCTCTTCTTCTTCTTCTTCTCTTCGATAATAATAATAACAATAATAGTAATAATAATAACATTAAAAAATGTGTCTCGTTGGCTTTGTAACTCGAGTAACTCGTGTATTTTAAGCGATTATCAACTGTCTATAAATCTCCTGACTGCATTTACATTGATCACGTGAATGTCGTGTTATTGATCATGTGATACACCCCTTCTTTCCCGCGGTGCACGACCTTCGACCGGAACAGAATACACTGTCTGCTAGACTGTATACAACTGTACACTCCTTCAGTTGCGTAACCTCCGTTTCCTCTATTAGCGATTTAGGTCAAGGTTGTTTCTTCCGCTGTTTACACCGGACAGTCGACCGTCAACAAATTGACCTTCCTACAGATGAGTTTTAGAAATTGTTTTAAACACAAAATCATGTTAGGCACGTAAGAATTGTATCATTTTAAATAAGATTTTTTCATATTTAATGGCAAAAAAAAAAAAAGAAAAAGAAATTGTGTTACGCCTTCGTTTGTTTTTGTAGCGCTTATTGTTGTTTTAAAATGAGTAACAAAAGCGAAATTTATGACATGTGGACTCGATTTATCGTTTTCTACCACGTATCAAGGTTAAATCAGTTTCAATTTTATAGTTTTTCTATAGTATTATTCATCCTATTTAATCTGTTGTTAATGAATGGAGAGTAGTAGCTTTAACTTATATATCAAAACAGAATTTAATTTTACAAGTATAACTACTGTAGAAAATTAAAACTCATTGAGCATACAAGATGAATAAGACTTATATAAAGTCCTTGATTCGCCAACGCTTTTCCTGAAAATTCTCAAAGACCTTGTCTTCCACCCAAAAGTTTAACTTTTGTCTCGTCTCTTGGCTTACAAATAATTTAATAATTTAATTACTATACACAGATAAAAGTTCTACAAACATCAGATATTGTGAATATACATTTTAAGGGATACACACACAAAAAAAATAAATAATAATAGTAAAAAAAAAAGACTGCATGTTTGTTAAGATAAACCTTAGTGATCTATTAATGTAACTATTGCAAATTCTAAAAAAAAAACAGTGGAGATCAACGTTCAAGGCACTTCTTAAAAAGTAATTTATCAATGACGTAAGAGAAAACAATGTCCCTTTGATGGCAGATATAAAAAAAAAAAAATTCAAGTCAACTAAATTTAATTTACTTTGTTTTTTTTTAAATAGCTAAGCTTATAATATATTTAAACTACAGAAAAAATAAATAAATAAAATACAATTAAAAGTTGACCATTCCTTAATGCTCTTAAGTGTAAAGTTACATTAACTGTCTGTTTAGTAGTGTTGTTTGTTAATTTACTANATTCCATGTTGTACGAGTCACTTAGATTTTACAAATATGTGCGCCAGGCTGTGAACGGCTTACGTATTTGTAAAATCTAAGTGACTCGTACAACATGGAATTCATATAAAACGGAAAAATCAACAGTGTTATAGGGGGGTCGACTGTATACAACTTGAAATGTTTTTCTTGTACTGTACATCTTTCTATGTTTTTATTAAGGTTTTACATCAGTTTTATTAAACACTTTTACGCACTTTTTATAAAATTTTCAACTGTTAAATCATTTTTCATAATTAATAATGTCATTAATATAGAATTTTCTATAAAATTCTGAATGTGTTACGCGAAAAAATCGAAAGAAATAA